GAAATGTGCTCCTTATATGAAAATCCAAGTACATGTCATGCCCCACTTATTTGATCAAGTCATCATTGTCTACAAGCTTGAATTTTTTTAACCAATCTCTATTCAAGCAAACATCTCAAGTAGCTCTCGCATCAATCCGCCATTCCATCAGGTTTGATTCCATAAGGTTGGCTTCAAAGATGATCGCTCCTGAGGCATGTATTCAACATAATGTCCTTAGAACAAATTTTTCATAAGAGGAAAAAATAAAAGCAGAATCGTATTACGAAGAAAAGACTGTTTCATCGGTTTCAATCAATCACCAAAGGGCTTTATTTATATACGATAATGCAAGGGCCCAAAACATGTAACTAGCGAAAAATAATCACAAGAGTGTAATTGTTATTTTGTCATTGAATAGATAATTAATGGTTAATTTTAGTTACAAAAAGATATTTGTAGATCTTCTAACTTTTTTGGTGGCTGGTGGTGTATTCGTACAAACAAACGTAGGACATGGACCATAAGAAAGCATCTTTGTACCATAAGACTTACAAGGCTAAGAAGCATTTAGAGTTATAAACTCATTTTCTTTTCATACTCCCACCTATGTGGGATAAAATAAAACTCACTTAACTCCTAGATAATTTTTCCAACTTCCTCACTTCCACATGTAATTTTTCATTCATCTTTAATCCGTTTATGACATATGATATATCGAAGCGTAGGTATCGGATAATCATGTTTCGCTTTTGATGATGTTTGAGGTTTGAAATTCGTACTCAAAATAGGAAAAACCTATATATGATATGGATAATTGTGATTTGGAATATCAATGCCTTTGACTTGGGATATCGATCATTCAACTTTGGGGCGTCATCAAATACACCTAAAGAATTTGAAACATCAATCACAAACTATCGAAAGAAATTACCGATCGAGTGACAATAACAATCAAAATTCCCAATGTCAACCCCCCCCCCCCCCCAACTAGCGATTTTTATATTTGATTGTCTGTAGATAAAGTCGCTGACATTTTTAATCTCAAGTAAAAGATCCACTTAACTAGACCTTTACTCGTTAATTTGGAAATTAAGTTCCTTAAATTAAATTCTTAAGTATTTTTTATTGGGAACTGATTCGTACGCAACATTTTTTCTCCGTACACAACAATTTGTGTTTTAAAATGTTGTATTGTACAACTATATAATGCATAAATTGTTGTATATGACAAAAAATTATTGTGTACGAATCACTTCCATTTTTTATTTCTTTATTTTACAAGTAAAATAGAATATTGATATAATCATTAATAAAAGTCAAATATTTTGTATATGTGGTGAAATGATTATACAAGATTAAAGTGAAAAATAATTATTGGCAGCGAAAGTGATATTGGTGATGTTTGATAGGAAAAGTGGGTCATATATGTTTTGCTCTTTGCATAAATATGTTTCATAATTAGCCATTAAACTGGAAAGGCCGAATATTCATTGGCCAACGAGAGCATGACAACAAATAGGTGTTTCATTGTGCACAAATGATGAATATAAGGCGTATATATAATGTTTCTTTTGCATAAAAATAAAATAAAATAATCAGCATCATCTTTTGGTGAAAACTATTGTATCTTACAGATTAAAAGTGGTAATGTACATATTCCAACAAACACTAATCTAAGATGTATTTTAATTATTTTTTATTTTCAATTGTTTATATATCTTTTCTTTGATGTTATTTAATTTCAATTGTCAACATTCTAACCTCAAAGATCATAACATGAAATTTCTATCTCCTTATCTTTAGAGAAATGAGAGGCAACGACAAGGTGCAAGAACTAAAAGGTGGGGTTGGGGAGATATCCACCATCAACAAAGGGATTAGATGTGTTCACTTTTGTTTGATTTAAACTCTATCATGGATTCAACCTCAACAAAATTCAAAACATGAGTTGCATATTGATTTAAAATCCATCTTTGACACAAAAGATGATTTGTTTCTTTGATTTTCCAAAATGGTCAAACCTCAATTACCCATAATCTAATTGTTAAAACAAAGAATCCAATGTCTATAACTTCAATTAAAACTTTAGGTTGTTTGATAGATTTTAAACCAAGGGGAATAAGAGGTTCTGCCATTTAAGGACAGTTATGTCCTATATCTTTAAGGACAATCGAAGGAGAAAGGGGAAGGGATTGATTTTGCATTATTTAGAGGTATCTATAGTATACTGTTGTACCCAATTGGGAAGGGCTCTGTTGATCACTAGTACAGGAGTAGATGTCCCAATGTATGTCTGCATGTGCATGAAATTTGACCTATCAAAGGGCCATGGGTCCTACTCAAACCAATAACTCTAAATTTCACTAAAAAGATCAAGGCAATCTCATCACCATGAGCATCTCTCCACTTGTCTCATTACTTGGGACATTTTGCAATTTGTAAAACACCAAAACAAACCATTAATTTTATAATTAAATAAAAAAATCAATATCTTCAAGATACGCACATGTATACTACCTTGTATATCGGTGACCGATCCATAAAGAAATGTCAGGGTAAGTTTGCGTTGTAGTACTAGAAAAAACTCATTTCTAAAGGCAGTTTCGATCACAAAATCGTTAATAAACCAACAAATTTACACTAAATTCACAATTATATGATGGATTGGTAACAAATTCGTGACGGATTTTGATGAATTCTCATTAAATTTACATTTAACAGGACAATTTGAGGGATAGCCCTTGTTACCCCGTGCAATATAGTAAATTCGCACCTGTTGTATACGTGAACTTTCACGTTCTTGCATCTTTATCCTTACAGTAAGTACATAAAGATCCATAAGCAAGATGGTCATTATATACCTTGCTCTAGCTGGGGCGTATACATGTTGGCTGTGAGACTGGCTGGTTAGTGCATATCGTCTACGTTATCCTGTATGTTTGCCCTCACAGTAAGGTGTAAAAATTTCTAAATAAGGTTGCATGTTCAATATTGGGCATCCTCTTCATCACTTTAGGACATTCATGTTGGTCGTGGGACCGGTTGGTAAGATGTACAGATAACATGTACCTTCTTTTTTACTATTTTGTGTAGATCTACTATTGAGTTACGTACATGGAGTTGCGAATAGTGACACAAAAGAAACGAAAATTCGAAAACCAACATAGAAAGAACCAATTTTTATCGGAACCAAAGCTTTCTTTATAAGCAAATCCACCACTAAAACATGTATTCAATGATAAAGACAATCTCAAACATCAAAAAGATAGCTCATGAAAGAGCAATAGAAAACTCAAAAAGAAGCTTCTTGAAAATGTCCCCATCTCTCCCTTTCAATCCCCAAATATTGAGTATGATATATCATTAGAGAAAAGGGTGTTCCAAAAAAATAACAAAAAAACAAAAACCTAATAATCATCTAATAATTCAAACAAACATCATACCTCTCATACATCAATACAATTATAATGTTCAAGAAGCCTATTGGCTTCCCTAAGACCACTGAAATAAGCACCATGAGTTGTGGAATAATGAGTTCTATGTGTTGCTTCCCCTGCAAAAAGAATCTGAAGTGGTGAACAACCATTTGACAATGGCTCCGCAAGTAAATCCATGTCTTTGCTACTTGATCCAACGGCTATAAAACTATACGATCCCATAAACAACGGATCACTCCCCCATCGACTTTTCAAAACTTTATCAAATTTGCAACTTTTGATTGCATTTCCGTTGCATTTTTTATACGACAAGAAGCTAGAAATAGTTGTGGAGACCTCATCAAGAATCACTTCATCTGGAAGCGCTTCAAGCTTATGTGCTTCATCACCTGCAAACCAAGATAATAACACGCTCGACTTCTCATAAATTGGTGACAAAGACGAAGTTTTTCTGATCCACCATGGAATTTTAGGGTTCTTCAGTTGATCATCAGATTTATGGAACACCATTTGTATGAAGGGAAACCGATCAAGATCAACATCTGGGCTTAGTTTCAAGAAAAGCTTGTTAACGACACCATACCCGAGTCTTGAAATAGCTTCAATCTTGTAATTTGGGAGTGGGGGATTGAATTTGAAAGTACCCGAACCTTTGGAATCGGAATCCGTGACTCCGGCTTTGAGAACTCCTAATGAAACCGTGACGATGACATGGTCTGCTGACATGGTCGTACCATCAAGAAAATGAATCTTAACCGGTCTTGAACCGGACCCGGGATCGGAATCGGAATCGGAATCGGAGTCGGAATTGGAATGCCACTCGATATCATGAACTTTCTTGCCTAATTGAATCACACCAGATGGTAAAACAGATGCTAATGATTCAATAATGCTCGAATACCCTTTCGCGATGGTGATTTCTTCACCAGGGAACATAACATACTCACTTTCCGCTATGTAATCAAGATTATGTAAATCATTAGCAGCTGTAAAAGTTCTTTGGGTGTTTTCATGCATTGCGAAAATCGCTTTTTCTAATGATTTCCTATTCCAATCCCCACACCCATTAACCTCGTTTCTTGATTTTAGCTTCTGGTAAGATTCCAGGCCTTTTTCAAGAAAAGACCCAACACTTGTAATCCCACCGAGATTTTCTTCAATTCCATCTGGTACTACCGATTTCTTTTTCCCTTGAGCGAAATCCATTAAACTGAAAAAAAGATTTGAAATCGGGTCAACAAGAGATGGATTTAACACATACCCATTTTCATCAATGGTGATTGGATCATCAAGGAATCCATTCATGCACTCCCATGGTTTCTCGGATTCCAACGAACCGATTTCTTGAGCAATCTTGTGAACTGGGCTGCCTCCGATTCCATGGATCCAAGTAGCTCCCATCTCAATTCTGTCACCACCGAACTCCGATGTGTTAATCCTTCCTCCAATTCTATTCCCGCCTTCAACAACACAAACCTCAAATGCACCCTTTTTTGCACCCGATTTGTAGAGCTTGTTTGCAGCTGTCAACCCTGCCATTCCCGCCCCAATTATCACTATTCTTGGCTTCTTTATAACCATTTTGCCAAAAAAAACTTGTGATAATTTATGGGTTTTCAAGAAAGAAAGATTTTGTTTGCAGAAAAGATTGTGGGTTTGAGCTTATGACACTGTGAACATACAGAGAACTTGAGGGTTTTCTTTTTCTCTTTGTTTTGAGTGAAAAAGAAACGAGAATGAGAGTGGTGATGAGTGACGAGGTTAAGTTTTAAACGAAGAAGAGAACATAAAAATAATACTTCGGGTTGAAGAAGCACCTAATTCTTTTATTTTTGGCGGACCCAAGAATTTTTTTAACAAACGAATCTTAAGAAAAATATTTATGTTGTTATAAAATTGTAATTTATTTACATTATTATTGGTAAAAATTAAACATTTTTATGTTTTGTGGAAGGAAATTACAAAAAAGTACTTTAAAATTATGTTTTTGAATAAATGTTTTTTTATTTGGAAGAGGCAATAATCCCTTCAATGACAACCAATATATTTCTGTCTTTTTGAAAGAAACAAAGGCATACTATATTCGAGAAGATGATAACAAAAAGTATGAAAATTTGAATAGTTGCCATAGATTTGATTTCAGTTATCGAAACAAAGCTAGGGATATGTTTTTTTTGTTTGGACATTGCTACTATGATGTATAACCAGATTAACACACAGTTTCAATAAAATCTTGACATATGAATACAACAAAACACTCATAGTTACTTTAAGATCCTGACGTATACATGATTGTTTCTTTTACAGTTTGTTACACAATAAATTAGAATTTTTTAAGGTTGATTGACTGGTATAGCAACTAACTGTTTCATTTTGTTTTTGATGATATAAGTAAGAGAAATTGACTAATTGAGTAAACTAATTAAGGCTCCCCCACATTGTTAACCGGCACATTAATGTGGCCACCTCTATATATAATATTTCGGACAATTAATCCATAAGGACATTTCGAAATTAAGCCTTCTTCTCTAGCCGACGTTTCGGAATTGCAGGAAGACAGGATCCGGACTTACGTTTTTTTGAAGGATGTTGGCGGACAGTTAAGAGCTTGAGCATCTATGGGTAGTGGCGGATGCAGACTGTTTTAGTAGGAGTATCCCTCATACTTCAAGTCGGTGCACCTAATAGAAAAAACCAAAAAATATTTTTTTTACACTAAGTGCTGGAAATTGAGCAGTGGTCCGGGAACCCCAATGCTCCACTAAGGTCTGTTATGTGTCTTTTATTTATGGGTTATTTTCTAATGTTCAAAAATCTTATTATGTTGTTAGTACTTTTGATAGGAAATAATCAGCTTGAACTGGATTTTGGTGGTATTTAAGTTTTTTGTGAGTAATAGTAGTATTAGCAACAATTAGTACAATCAAACCCCTAGAAAAACCTGCTTCGGAACACCCCACAATGCGAAGAATTAATCCAAGATCCGTAGAACTAGTCTGGAATATACAGAACAGTCTAGAATGCAGTCTACCACACATGACATTCTAGTATGTCACAGTGTCTAATTTTTTTCTATAGCATAATGGTATGTACAAAGGGGATGTCACTATAACCTGCAAATCTGAATTAGGTGGGGAGATAATGGTTAGGTTTCAAGGTGTCCTATTTTGGTTGGTGGGTCGATATTCCCATAGATGTAGAATGGCACCCATTACTATGCCATTATATGTTATTCAGTGTAGTGACCCATCATTGGTTTGATGTTGATAATTTTCTATTTCATATAGACGACTATTGACTCTGTTTTTCCTACTCGTTTATCTTCAACACCGTTCAGACAAAACGTGTTTCCTTTTGTCTTGACTTCAGACTCAGTGAAAGTTGCTGACTTGCAACATGTCTTCAACAACTCATTTAATGATTTATATGATGAAGACACAATCTGAGTGTCCTGGGTTTATATGTTAGAGCAGAGGTTTTTTAGATACCCCAGACTGCTAGTGTAGGTCGAATACATTACATTGGTATTAGATTTGGAGCAATTCAATATGTATCAAGTAACTAATATTAAAATTATGATTTAATATTTATAAAAAATAAATTGGTGACACATATACCCTTAGGAACAAGTAATTTGGGATTACACATATAGATAGTTGTCCACTATCTGTGATAAAAATCAAGGAGCATCTAAACCCCACCCGCCCAAGAGTCGGTCGAAGAACTTCCTATATGTGTGACTTTATATATGATTTTAAGGTGAAAAATATAGGATTTTTATACAAAGTTATTTTAACATTATTATGCTTGCTACTTGTTTGACATCTTGATTTTACCGATTTTGATCATAGAGATGCTTGCTCACTTTCGGAAGCTCGGTACCACATGCCAGGTGTGTTCCCTTAGCCATGGTCAAGGCTTAGGCATTTAGGGTTTGTCGACTGTGTGTATGGTTGATGTTACTATGGTATGCATGTTAGATTACCATTTTCAATAACTTGTTATAAGGAATAAGATACCATTAAACTTTATTTATTATTTCAAACAGAATCCCCCATCGAGACCTTATAGCTTACTGACCATGAGCATAGTACTTTATGATGGGTTGATTGTTATCCATGGATAGACATAATTGATTTACCTTTTTGATTTGTTGCTTTTGAGTATGTTTAAAATGATCTGTTTTGTTGGTGTAATATATACAAGTTACCGAACAAGTTTATTTTTTTATATTTAATATAGTGTCTGTAAATTAGAGTTAAATGATTAAAGTATAATAGTAATAGTTATTATAATTAAAATCCTTAAATAGGATAATTATTTGTCGTATGTGTTACGAGCAATAAATAGATGTTTTTATAGAAGATTATTTAAGATAAATAATCTTGATGAGAGATGTAGCAATTGTAAACGTGAGAGTGTGAATATAAAGAATGCCTAAATCTGAATTAATATGAGGAAATTATGATTTTTTGAAATTTCAATACAAAAGTGTGCGACACAGAAATCAAAATATGAATCGGTTTGAGTGTTAGCCAACGCAATGTAAACGAGAGCTGAAGATCTCGTAAACATGATTTCGCTTATATAAAGACAATCGAAAATGAAATTCGTATGAAAGAGTTATGATTTTTGTCTGGACTTTAACAGTCTAAGCCTAAAAAAATAGAAATTTAAAAATAAATTGACATTTAGCCGATGAAGTTAAATGAAAGTTTTAATATTTGTCGACAGCTACTTGTTAATATAAAGAACGTTGAAAATATATCTTTTATGAGAAATATATGATTTTTAGAAGTTTTGAAAATCATACTCCAAAGCATGACGCACAGGGTAGGTAGTGTGGCGCGCCTCAATGTTCTAGAATGGCAACGTGGACCAACAGGCTTCCAACATGTGGCGAAAAGGGGTAGGGCATCTTTGACCAAAAGGATGTGGCGCGCCTCTCTCTTGGGCATGATGTGTCTTGCCTGACCCTATATATATATATATATATATATATATATATATATATATATATATATATATATATATAGAGAGAGAGAGAGAGAGAGAGAGAGAGAATCAAGTTTAACAACAAACACTCAAAATATCAGAATGAACTAACGAACTGAATAAAAATATTCAAATTCAATAGATCTTCTGATTGCATTGGATTAATGAAATAAGGTTCAGTGGTTTCTTACATCAATAGATGATTCGACAACTACCGCTTGACTGATTTGAAAATTCCTACCTTTATCCCCTAAATTTGTATCTCTCGACGTCATTTCTCACATCATTGCTCTGATCAACACCTCCTTCTCTCGTTTGTCTCCTCTTGCATTCCTTGTAAGTCACATCTCTCAATCAATCGATATATAATTCATTTACTCAATGTTAATTTATTATATTCCAATTCGAACAAAAAAAAAGTTTTCAATCTACATAAGCATTGGAGTGATGCATATGTTTTTTACATGGATTTCTTAATATTAAATGCACAATACAAAATGTTCTTTATTAAAACAATAGAAGCCTTTTGTTGAGTTATTTTGTATTGCCATTATATGATAAATATTATTTGGTTTCATACATGACATGTTTTGTAGCTCCAATGTACAAGTTTACCAATGGTAGAAGCTTTGATGATGCAGAACCATATTTTGGGAATATCAAACAACTTAGTAAAGCTTAAGGTTTACCTAATAACAACATTTTGAAAAGTTTTTCTCAAGAAAAGGAGAAGGCAAACACTGTTGTAAAGATCAAAGTTGTGTATGCCAATCAAATATCAACAGTTAATTGAGAATCATTTATATCCAATTCTGATATTATCTAAATATTGATTCCTTGAACTTAATAAAAAGCACCCGTTGTTGCTAAAAAGGGTAAAATGGGGATGAAATTTCAGGTATGCAAGAGACCCTTGAACAAAAAGGAGTTAGCAAAAAACGAGGAATATATCATCACCACATATACCCATTCAAATTTCCTTACGGTTCATGAAAAAACTCAAGGTTAGCAGCTAAATAATAGTATAATTTTCTTTAATAGCATTTAGTTTCATTATTTATTTATTTTTTTCCATATAGGTTGATCTTACATAATACATGGAGAAGCATGAATTTGTTTTTGATGCACTACTAAATGAAGAAGTTTCTAACGATGAGGTTAGTACATTATACAGAGATCAATTTTTTTAAGTGCACATGGATATGCATTTGTATAAATGCATATCTATATGTTCATGTATATGCATATGGTTATATAGATATGCATATCTTTATGTTCATGCATATGCATATACTTAATCATATGCATACACACACATACACACACACACACATATATATATATATTCTTATGTATATACATATACTTATTTATATGCATATGCATATGCATATACTTATTCTTATTCTTATGCATATCCATAGGTATACACATACTCATATATATATATATATATATATATATATATATATATATATATATATATCACCTTGATTAACCCTCACCTTAAGTAGCAAGAATATTTTACAACGTTTATCTAATCATGAATCCATACCAAAACTTTAAAACATAAAAAGACCATAATT